TCCCTCCACCACGTTTATCTTGGGAATGATACATGGGGATCTCCCTCTACCACTTGTGTGTTGGGGATGACACATGGGGATTTCCCTCCTCCCCGTTTATGTTGTAGATGATACATGGGGATCTCCTTCTACCAAGTTTATTTTGGGGATGATACATGGGGATCTCTCTCGATCATGGGTGTGTTGGAAATGATACATGGGGATCTCCGTCATGTACAGGTGATGTGACAAGATATGCCAACTTTACATGTCATGTGACAAATAGGGATCTTACAAGTACTCAGCACTCGTGGCCGGACTCGAGTCCAATTGAATGGACTCGCAAGGGAGATAACTCTAAATAAACGTCTCACGCAATCAAGATGGATTATCATGAGAAAAAAAGGAATGTCTGGGCGCATTTTGATCTTGATTTAGTGGCCAAAAAAATCAAATGCCGTCTTACGGCACACGGATTTGCATTCATATTTTAATTTCAAGAAGTTGTGTTATTGACTTGTTGTTTCATGATAAAGTTATCTACGGCACATCGTATTATTTCAACTCCCTGGGGAACATGCAACTCTTGCTATCACAAGGCGCATCGAGTTATTCCCATCCCCACGAGGTAACCATGATTAAGGTTAATTGATTATGTGCCTTATCGTCTAGGTGAATGCTTAAAAGTTGCTAATAACTGCAACGACATATTCATATTAGATAATTTTGAAAGAGCAATCAAATTTAAAAACCAAAAGAAAAGAAAAGTACATTTAATGTTTTCTTTCCCGGACACATCCAATTATATTTGCAGGCATGATAAGGTATCACTGGCCCAGCTCATGAATATTTAATCACATTATTGATCACTTGGAACTGTGTCACAGTGACACTTACGCTGCTTTCACATACTGTTTGCAATAATAAAAAGGTAATATATACTTCCATTGACATTGAATATCAATTGCTTTATTCAAGAATGTTTAGATTCACATATACATGTTGCATTATTCGTAGATTGGAAGTTGGAACAGCCAGGTGTATGCTTCAATGTTGGTTTTAGATAAGCATCAAATTTGTCGGGTACTCAGGTTCGAGTTGGGTCTGACCCCTCGAGTACTCGAGTCACAAATTTTGCCACCTCTGCAGGTCATGTGACAAACTATGCTAGCTGTACAGGTCATGTGACAAACCATGTCAGCTGTACAGGTCATGTGACAAAATATGCTAGCTGTACAGGTCATGTGACAAACTATGTCAGCTGTACAGGTCATGTGACAAACTGTCAGCTGTACAGGTCATGTGGCAAGCTATGCTAGCAGTACAGGTCATGTGACAAACTGTGTCAGCTGTACAGGTCATGTGACAAACTATGCTAGCTGTACAGGTCATGTGACAAACTATGTCAGCTGTACAGGTCATGTGACAAACTATGCCAGCTGTACAGGTCATTTGGCAAGCTATTCCGGCTGTACAGGTCATGTGACAAGCTATGCCAGCTGTACATGTCATGTGGCAAACTATGCCTGCTGTACAGGTCATGTGACAAGCTATGCCAGCTGTACAGGTCATGTGGCAAACTATGCCTGCTGTACAGGTCATGTACCAGCTGTACAATAATTTTGGTACAAATACCTTGATACTCTGTGCTGAATTATTTTGGGCAGGTTTCAAGATATGCAATATACCAATTAAAGCTAATTGAGCACATATCCAAAAGAACTGATAGCCTTTTAATGAAGCTGTCAAAGCTATTACGATATTTCACTACTTGTTTTGATGCAGTTGAAACAATTTTTCAAGCTGTGATATTGTATAACAACATTATATCCTTTTTGGCACTTATCAATAAGTCAATAAATCAATCAATAATTTTATTCAGTAGAAAACCTAAGATCCACATACATAAATATTACAGTTTAACAAGGTTGGGAGTGGAGTTAACTTTAATAATAACAATAATCCCAAATAATTGTAACGCATTGAAATTTTCAACTTTTTATCGACAAAAACAAACAAACCTCACTTTCCCCAAATTTACGACAATTTCTAAAGACCAATATGTATTATTTCTGTCAGTCTCCATTTATGTCAATAACTGTGTTAATAAATCAATCTTTTTTTGTAACCTTATAATATTGTCAGCAAATGCACCTAAGTATCATCTTGTAGAAAGTGGTCAAATGAATCATATATTATTTTGGGGCTTACTTGAATCTGTACTTTACTGAGAAAGTGTAATCCCAAATATAATATTTGTTACGAACCATCTGTATATATAATGCTGTGTTCACACTATCATGATTCACGCCACGATTGAAATCATGGTCTTAATAGTGGACTAATGTGGTGATCCTGTCAGATCTTATCAGATCTTACCAGGTCTTAAGGTCAGTCGTGGCAATCGTGTTGATTGCAGAAAAATTTTGGACGGTTCAAAAAATTTCTACCATCAACACAATAATTTGTCTACCATGATCATCGCATCAGGTTGTATTGCATCATAACAAAGCACAACATATTGGATCTAATCATGCTTCCAAATTGTGGAGATCGGAATCAATCATGGACAAGACAAACACCATGCTCTGTGCAGATGTGCTGCGATCTCCCACAATCTGTCACGATCTGTGATGCCATGTCTGTTGCTCTCTTATCCTCCGCATTTGCTCTAGCTGAGTTGGTCGCAGCGTTCGAAATAATCCCCGGCCCGGAGGCCCAGCATCGGTTGTTATTGTATCGGGCCGGCAGTTTCAAATATTTGCAGGCCCCTGTGGCCTTCAGTAAATTATCTGGTATTTTTTTTTCAACTTTAATCTTTCCCATATTTTTTTTCTTTATTAACATTCGGGAATCATCCATGATCCATCATGCTATGATAACTTACAGTTTCACTGCCTGGTATTTCAACACTTCGTGCATGGGAATGTCAGCACCAGTCTTCAACAAATAAAAACTTATCTCTGGGCCATAGGCTTTGCTAATTGATTTTGTAGAAACAGTGTGAAATTGTGTACAGTTTAGTCTTTTTTGGTTTGACTTCAACAAAGTGGGCCTGCAGATTATATTCAGGGCCTGTAGAACTTAAAGCCTGCAAGCCGAAACAGACCCTGATGACCAACTGGCAAATTTAAGTGTTGCAAATAGTGGTTGCGAGGTGCAGGAGGTTGATCCACATCTACCCTCCATGCCATGACATTGTGGTTTTCATCCTCATGGTCCGCCTCTTGTGCTGCAATGCCTGTATGCCTCAGCCTCAGTAGGCTGTGCAGAGTTACTGCCGCTTCCACTATATCATGTGATGGGCTTCTGAGGAGACATCTGAATCTATTGGCCAGGATCCCAAAGGCATTTTCCACCACTCTCCTCCTCCTTGAGAGTCTGTAGTTGAAAATCCTCTCCTTCCTGGACATCCTTCTTCTGCTGTAAGGCTTCATGAGGTAGTTCCTGAGTGCAAAGACGTCATCCCACAGGATGAAAAAGGCATGTTTTGGTAGTCACCAGGGCATGCAGTCAAGGGGGTGTGTGTGTGTGTGTGTGTGTGTGTGTGTGTGTGTGTGTGTGGGTTAGGGGGTATTAGGACTTCCTCTTCCATGCCGATAAACAGCCATGAGTCACCATATATCTTAGCATCTAAAATGTGTCCTTGGCTCCAAGCTCAATCCACACAAACTTGTATACTGCATCCACCAGAACTAGGGTGGTAATTGAAGTACAGGCTGCCAGTTTGAGGTGGCTTCTTGTTAGCAATGGACAGGAGAAATGTGTGACCAAACACAGCAAAGAAAACAGTGCGCCAAAATGCACCTGAACACATATAGCTATGAAAACTTTGATTTTCACATGCATGGTGGATGGTACACGTGAATTTGTCTATGTTTTGGAGTTAGTTGTATGTTGTTTAACCAAGTAGCAACATGTGTTAATGTTTCATCCCGATACAGGAATTTAGAATTGAAACGTGTCAAAGCAACTTAGTTAATAGATGTTCACTTGAAAAGGGGACTTAAAACACAAAGGTGTATAAAAGCATTAAAATAGTAAATTGTGTAGTTTAATAGCTTTAATAAAAGTTGAATTTGTTTTAGTTAGAAATGTGTTTTGATATTTGGAGTATCTTCACTCCAAGCAATGTGTTTGCCATCAAGGGCCACTCTCTGCAAGACTTCATCGAAGAGCTGTGGTATTAACCTTGTGTAGTTTTGAAATGCTACTGTGTCTTTTAGCCTCAGATGGGTGTCCAGGAGGTGTTCTTAACAGATCGCATGACAGTCTGAACCTAGCATAACAATAAACGAAGTTCTAAAAATTCAGAACCTCTTTCTCCAGTCTTTAATTTCATTATCTAACTGATTTACAAATAAAGAAAACAAAAGCAGACTTCAAGAACATTCTTGTAGTATTCTGCTAAATTATAATTTCAGTTTCATTATACCAGTTGTAGGTTGGTTGTTAGTTGTTTATTCCAGCTGTATGGCAGTGTTCTGTAAATAATTGAGTCTGGACCAGGCAATTCATTTCTATGTAAACATGCTGCTAGTGTTCCAATGAAAGTAAAGGAAACAGTGTGTCATTTCACAAAAACTTTTGAATAAGAATGATTGTTATGCAAGTAAGTGCTATTCATCTTCTGTTAAGCTGAACTCATGAGAAGTGTTTGCTAAGATCTGTTCTTCATGTTTTTAAAGTGCCTGTGGAAACCACTCATTTTCATAGTTATACAGGGGAAGCTTTGTTTTGAAGACCATTTTTCCAATCACATTGTCATAATACAGGTCCAAGGCTCTGAATTTCTGTAAGTTTTAAAAATAAATAAGCACTAAAACAGCATTGGAAGTAGACTCAGCACCTTTATGTCAATCTTAGCAATAATATGGATTCATATTTGGATAATCTGGTCTGAATCTTTTCCTCCATCTCATGTTATGTTTGTAACATTAGATAAAAAAGGTTTCACACTATTTTTGTTGACTTTGAAATGTACAAATGTTTTCCAAATTAATCTTGTACTTTAATTCTAGGTTTGTGGCCTGTCTCCTCGTGAACGGAAAAGGAACTGAACAATGCATTATGGCTAGTTTGGCACTCCCAGAAAAAGCTTCATCAGCCAAATTCTTCTATGGACGTATCACACGAGACGAAGCAGAAATTATTTTAAAAGAGCGAGGTTGCAACGAAGGCCTCTATCTTTTGCGAGAGAGCATCAGTCCATTGGGGAACTATGCCATCAGCATATGTCACCACAACAAGTATGTTTAGTTCTTGCATCAGAAGTCTTGAAATAGCTTCATGTATTGGACCATATCCTAGCTTCATGCACAGGAACATATACCAGCTTCATGTACAGTACCATGGATTGGCTTCATGTAGGGGACCATAGACAAGCTTTATGTTTAAGACGATGGACTAGTTTCATATAGGGGACCATGTACTCGTTTCATGTAGGGGACCATAGACTAGCATCATGTTTAGGCCAATGGACTAGCTTTTTGTATGTGACCATGTATTAGCTTCATGTAGGGGACCATGAACTATTTTCATATGCAGGACAATGGACAAGCTTCTTATGCAAGACCATGGGCAAACTTCATATGCAGGACTGTGGCGAAGCTTCTTATAGGGGGCCATAGACTAGCTTCATGTAGGGAACCATAGACTAGCTTCATGTTCAGGACAATGGACTAGCTTCATGTTTACGACCATGGACTAACTTCATGTTTATGGGACATTGACCTGGCATCATATACATGACCTTTGGTCAGCTTCAAGTTTACGATCATGGACAAGCTTCATATACAGGACCATGGACAAGTTTCATATGCAGGACTATGGACTAGCTTTATCTACAGGAGCATGGACAAGTTTCATATACAGGACTATGGACTAGCTTCATGTGCAGAACTATGGACTAGGTTCATATGCAGCACTATGGACTAGGTTCATGTTGGAGACCATGAACTAGCTTCATATAGGGGACCATGGATAAGCTTCATATGCAGGACTATGGCTAAGCTTCATATAAGGTACCATAAACTAGCTTCATGTAGGGGACCATGAACTAGCTTCATAGGCAGGCCTGTAGCATAACTTCATATAGGGGACTAAGGTCTAGCCTCATATGCAGGACTAGGGTCTAGCTTCATATGCAGGACTATGGCCAAGCTTCATATAGGGTACCATAAACTAGCTTCATGCAGGGACCATTGACTAGCTTCATGTTGAGACAATGGACTAGCTTCATATAGGGGACCATGGAGTAGCTTCATGTAGGGGACCATGGACTAGCATCATGTTTAGAACCATATACAAGCTTTATGTATGGGACCATGTACTTGTTTCATGTAGGGGACCATAGACTAGCGTCATGTTTAGGCCCATGGACTAGCTTTATGTATGTGACCATGTACACGCTTCATGTAAGGGACCATGGATTATTTTCATATGCAGGGTAAATGGACAAGCTTCATGAAGCTAGTCTAACATGGTGATAGTCAATGGTCCCTGCATGAAGCTAGTCCATAGCCCTGCATATGGAAGTCCCTGAAGCTATGAATGGAGCTAGTCCATGGTCCCTGCATGAAGCTAGTCCATAGCCCTGCATATGGAGCTAGTGCAAGGTCCCCTATATGAAGCTAGTCCATAGCCCTGCATATGAAGCTAGTCAGTGGTCTCCTACATGAAGCTTGGCTACAGTCCTGCATATGGAGCTAGTCCAAGGTCCCCTATATGAAGCTATTCCATAGTCCTGCATATGAACCTTGTACATGGTCCCCTACATGAAGTTTGTCCATGGTCCACTACATGAAGCTAGTCCATGGTCCCCTATATGAAAACTAGTCCATGGTCCCCTACATGAAGATATTCCATCAACGGGACCATGGATTAGCTTCATATAGGGGACCATGGACAAGCTTCATATGAAGGACTATGGCCAGGCTTCATATAGGGTACCATAAACTAGCTTCATGTAGGGGACCATGGACAAGCTTCATATGCAAGACTATGGAATATCTTCATGTAGGGGACCATTGACTAGTTTTCATATAGGGGACCATGGACTTGCTTCATGTAAGGAACCATAGACTAGGGTCATGTTTAGGACCATTGGCTAGCTTCAGATACAGGACTATGTAGGGACCCATGGTTTAGCTTCATGTAGGGGACCATGGACTAGCTTTATATAGTGGACCATGGATTAGCTTCATATAGTGGACCATGGACAAGCTTCATATGCAGAAATATGGAATAGCTTCATGTAGGGGACCATGGACTAGTTTTCATATAGGGGACCATGGACTAGCTTCATGTAGGGGACCATGGACTAGCTTCATGTAGGGGACCATGGACTAGCTTCATGTAGGGGACCATGGACAAACTTCATGTAGGGGACCATGGACTAGCTTCATGTAGGGGACCATGGACTAGCTTCATGTAGGGGACCATGGACAAACTTCATGTAGGGGACCATGGACTAGCTTCATGTAGGGGACCATGGACAAGCTTCATGTAGGGGACCATGGACTAGCTTCATGTAGGGGACCATGGACTAGCTTCATGTAGGGGACCATGGACTAGCTTCATGTAGGGGACCATGGACAAGCTTCATGTAGGGGACCATGGACAAGCTTCATGTAGGGGACCATGGACTAGCTTCATGTAGGGGACCATGGACTAGCTTCATGTAGGGGACCATGGACAAACTTCATGTAGGGGACCATGGACTAGCTTCATGTAGGGGACCATGGACTAGCTTCATGTAGGGGACCATGGACTAGCTTCATGTAGGGGACCATGGACAAGCTTCATGTAGGGGACCATGGACTAGCTTCATGTAGGGGACCATGGACTAGCTTCATGTAGGGGACCATGGACAAGCTTCATGTAGGGGACCATGGACTAGCTTCATGTAGGGGACCATGGACTAGCTTCATATGCAGGACTGTGGAATAGCTTCATGTTTAAGACAATGGACTAGTTGCACATAGACTAGCTTCATGTAGGGAACCATAGACTAGGGTCATATTTAGGACCATGGGCTAGCTTCATATGCAGGACTATGTAGGGGACCCATGGTTTAGCTTCATGTAGGGGACCATGGACTAGCTTCATATAGTGGACCATGGACAAGCTTCATATGCAGAAATATGGAATAGCTTCATGTAGGAGACCATTTGTTAGCTTCATGTAGGGAACCATGGACTAGCTTCATATTCGGGACTATGTAGGGAACCATGGGCTAGGTTCATATGCAGCACTATGGACTAGCTTCAGGTCAAGGACCATAAACTAGCTTCATTATTAGGACCATGGACTATCTTTATGTACAGGACCATGGACTAACTTTATGTACGGGACCATAGACTAGCTTCATGTATGGTACCATAGAAGAGCCTTACATGCAGGACCATGGACTAGCGGCTTGTGGGGAACCATGGACTGGCTTCAAGATTAGGACCATGACCTTGCTGCATGTAGGACTAGCTCTATGTACAGGACCATGGACTAGCTTCATGTACAGGGTCCCGTTCCACTAACCGATCTTAGCCCTACGCCAATCGTAAACCCCTAAAATACCAATCTTAGCTTGACATTACGATCGTTACCGTTCCACTAACCGATCTTACCAAAGTCAATCGTAAAGTTAAGATCCAAAGTCTATGTTTCTCATGATCAACATGATAAATGGTAGAGAAACCGAAATGGTGGCTTCATATTCTAAGTGAAGAAGAAGAGCGAGCATTTCGCTGTGAGCGTCTCCTAAACCCCCCCCCATGAAATGAATTTGTTTATTTCTGTGATGTAAACAAACACTTCAATGAAGCCTTTCAAATGTGAGGCCAGTCTGACCACTGTCACCATGGGAACACAGCTGAGGGAGTCGGTGTAACACATTTGTACAACAATATTGCAACGTCATGGTTAAGAATAGGGAGGGTCCTGAAATGATTGTTCTGAAACAAAAAGATACAAATATGTTTGATTTCACTGTGCCTATTTGGTGGTTCTAAAGGCAGGCCGTGCATTTTTCAAGACCACTGACAGATTCTAGATACGTCATCAGATCATGTGCTTGTGGCGAGGTACAGGATGCCTCATCACACCTTGTTTTTTTCTGATGGATAACGTTGAGCCACATATTGTGTCTCATACCAAGTGTTCGTGCCTCGCATTTCTCTATCTCTCGCATGAAAGAGTATTGATCTAAGCTTGGACTGATCATAAGATCGGGGACTGGCTACAATCGGCCTAAGATCGGTTAGTGGAACGGGTGTAACTTTTGGCTAAGACGATTGTAAAATTGGCGTAACTTGCTAAGGTTGATCTCAGATAAGATCAGTTAGTGGAACGGGACCCAGGACCATGGAATAGCTTTATGTAGGGGACCATATACTAGCTTAATGTACGGTACCATAGAAGAGCCTAATATGCAGGACCATGGACTAGCTCCATGTAGGGGACCATGGACTAGGTTCATGTTTATGGGAACATAGACTAGCATCATATACAGGACCTTTGATTAGCTTCATATACATGACCATGGCCTATCTTCATAAAGGGGACCATAGGCTTATGTAGGAGACCACGGACAAGCTTCATATGCAGGACTATGGAATAGTTCCATGCAGGGGTCAATGGATTAGCTCCATGTAGGGGACCATAGACTAGCTTCATGTTTGGGACCATAGACTAGCTTCATGTAGGTGACCATATACCAACTTTATGTAGGGGACCATAGACTAGCTTTATATGCAGGACCATGGACCATATATGGAATCATGGACTAGCTTAATGTTTAGGACCATGGACAGGCTTCGTGTAGAGGACTATGGACCAGCTTCATGTAAATAACCGTGACTATTTATCTACTGGATATCAGTGCCCTAATGGAGTAACAAGTGCACTTTTGTTTGGGGAGTGTATGGGAGGGAGCACCTCTCCGTTGGTGGGATTTTGCGGGGCCTCACACAGGAAAATTTAGTCCTTTTTTTATGTAGTGACGATATCTGAGACCGTGAACATATATATCCCATCCATGTCTGAAGTTTTTGTCCCTCACTTCAAGCTTCATGATGATTACATAAGCCTCCCTACAGAAGCGGAAATCACATCCAAGCAGAGAACCTTTATTGTTACTAGAAACTTCCATTAATTCCATAACTTTGAGCTTGTAGCATCCGTCATTATAATGCCAAATCTAAATTTACATGTGCAAATCAACCTTGCAATTAGTCTGTCTGCATATAAACTG